CTTTGTTTGTTCTATTCTTGCTTTTGTTCCTTGCTTCTCTCTTTTTCTCCTGTCCTCACCAGTTTCCCAAAGTTTTCATGATCTGTGTCCTCTAGCCTTACTTCTAAGCTTTCCCTCTCTTTCTGTCTCTATCCACCCCCTAACACCTTCTAAGTCTTCTCTCCAGAGGACAAATTTGCTATGTTAAAGGGCTTATTTACTGCAAACATTACTGGATGGTTCTAGATTTTGATATATAACTATAATTCTAGATCATGGGGTCAAATGTGGCAGATTTATACTTATCACAGTTTGTCATTTTCTAGGCTGTGTTTGATGCTATTGTTGATGCTGATTGTATTACTTTGTCCAAGGTGACAGGATTGCTCTAGTCAGTTGTCCTTCCTGAGATACAAAGACTGAGATTGTCTAAGGGCCATTATAGACTCAAAACCCAAAGACCAGTGATACTGGAAGACAATATGAGAAGTAGCCATACCCTAAGAGTTCTAAATGAAAACATACTTGCAAAGAGAAATATACAAGTGTCAAACCAGGAAATAAACCCAAACCAACAACAACAACAAAATAGAAATGAGAAGATACCTAAACAAGATGCAAACCCAGAGTTCTTGATCACCAAATGCAAATTGTGGTGGGGGGGGGCAATGAGATGGAACAATATGAATGTCAACCACCTGAACTCCCTGAACTGGTAAAATGGGCAGATGAAAACAGATGAAAGAGGCTCTGGAAAAAGTGAAATAAGAAAAAATTTCTCAAAAACAGAGATGGTGACCATAATGAAAGAAATGATTAATAACTCTAGAGCATGTACAGATAAAAAATAGAGGAGCTGAGGAAAATGATGGAAACCATGAATACCTAGCATAGGAAAGAATTGGAAAACATGGAACACATCCAAGCACATATCCAAAAAAACAAAAATTGCATTGAAAGTTTCCATAGCAGAATAATAGAATTTCAGATTTAGAAGACAGGTTGGTGATTAGCGAACAAGAAAAGAGATTTCTTAAAAATAGCAAGGGGCCATGAGAAATCAATCCAACAACTACTGGATGATGCAGAAAAGAATAACTTAAGATTGATTGGAGTCAATAAAGGAGCAGGAGATAGCACCAAAGGCATAAATAAAATTTTCACAGAAGTAATTGTAGAAAACTTCCCAAACAGGGAAAAGGAATTTGACATAATGATAAATGAAGTGTACAGAACTTGAACTAACTGTGTTCAAAAAGTATCTACACCTAGGCATATAATAGTCAAGAACCTACAAATGCCACATGCAAACAAAATATTAAAAGCTGTTAGAGAAAAAGAAACAAACCACATACAAAGGAAAACCCATTAGAATCACAGCAGACTTCTCAACACACTCAAGTCAAGTAAAGCCTGAAGTGAAGTATTTCTTGTCCTAAAACAAAACAAATTCCAACCTAGATTAATGTATCATACAAAATTATCTTTCAAAATCAATGAAAATAAGATACTTGTATGACAAAGAATACCTGAGGAATGTCATGAATACCAAACCAGTGATCCAACAAATTTGAAACAATAGCTAAAAAGAGGCAATGAGGGTCCCAACTCCATGAAGCCCCAAAAAATGAATCCATAAGTCAAGGAAAGAAATTAAATGCAAAGTGGGGGCAAAAATCCAACAACAGGAAAAGATCATGACAAGGATAAATCAATACATATCAGCTATAACCATCAATTTTAATGGTCTCAATTCACCAATCAAAAGAAATAAGCTGGCAGAATAGAACAAGAAGAAATATCGAACAATATACTGCATACAAGAAACACACTTAATTCAAAAAGAAATTCATAGACTGAAGTCAAAGGATGAAAATATTTCATGCAACAGGAAGCTGATAAAAAGCAAAGGTAGTTATTCTATTTGCTGACAGAGTGGATTTCACACAAAGACCAATTAAGAGAGACAAAGAAGATCACTACATTGTGAAGGGAATAATCCAAGAAGAAGAGATGACAATCATAAATATATATGCAGCAAATACTAGTGCAACCAACTATAAAAAACAAATACTACCAGACATAAAATGTCAAGTAAGCACTAATACAATTGTAGTGGGGGTCCTTAATACTCCACTGTCACAAACAGACAGACCAATTAAATAAAAATGTCAACAACAAAATGCTAGAACTCAACCAAACTCTTGAACAAATGGACATAATAGATGTTTACATAATGTTCCATCCCACAAAATTAGAATACACATTCTTCTCAGCTGCACATAGGATGTTCTCCAAAATAGACCACACATCAACTCACTGACACTGTTTAAGTAAATGCAAAGTTTTTGAAGTTATCCCTGTATATTATCAGATCATAATGAAATGAAATTGGAGATCAATAGCAAAATAAACCACAAGAACTTCATAAACACATGAAAATTGAATAAAATATTCCTGAAAAACCAATGGATCACAGAGGAAATTAAAGAAGAAATTAGACAGTTTCCATAATTAAATGCCAATGCCAATACAACATACTGATTTTTATGGGACACAATGAAAGCAGTACTATAAGGGAAATTCATAGCCATGAATACTGATATTAGGAAAGTAGAGTGTGATCAAATAAACAACCTAATGGTGAATGTGAAGCTTCTATATAAAGAAGAGCAAGACAAAACTAAAGATCATACAAAGGAGGAAATCATGAAGATTAGAGCAGAAATCTATGCAATGGAGACTAAAAAACACTAAAATGAATCAATGAATCAAACAATTCGGTCATCAAAAGAATACACAAAATTAACAGACACTTCCTTAGCCAACCTTATCAAAGAAAAGGTCCAAATCCATCCAATTAAGAATAAAAAGGGTGAAATTACAACAGTCCCAGCAGAAATCCAGAAGATCATGAATAACTACTTTCAGAACCAGTACTCCAATAAGATGGAAAACACAGAAGAAATAGACAGACTTCTAGATACATATGAATTATCAAATTTGAATGAACAAGACCTAAAAATTCTAAACAACCCAATATCAATCAAGAAAAGTGAAAACATAATTTAAAACATACCAACAAAGAAAAGCCCAGTTCCTAATGGCTTCACTTCTGAATTCTACAAAACATTTAGAGAAGTGCTATTGCCACTACTGCTTAAACTTTTCAATGAAATTGAAAGAGAAGGAATACTCCCAAATTCATTCCTGGAAGCAAACATCACCTTGATACCAATAGCAAAGAAGGACTCAACCAAAAAAGAGAACTACAGGCCAATCTCACTAGTAAACAAATGCAAATTCCTCAGTAAGATACTGGCAAACAGAATGCAAAAAATCATCAAGAAGATCATACACCCTGAATGAATAGGATTCACCCCAGGGATGCAGGGATGTTTCAACATATGCAAATCAATAAATATGATACACTATATTAATAGAGCCAAGGACAAAAACTTTATGATCATCAGATGCAGAAAAAGTATTTTAAAAAATCCAACACCTGTTGGGAGCAATGCTACATAATTTTAGGATAAAATCATTTGGTTAGCCTAATTCTCCTGCCTAGAGCCCAGCTATGGAATTCTGAGACATAATTCCATTTTGGCCTCCGGTCACAACTGAAATCTCAATGATCCAGTGATGCTGTGATTCTCCAGGACAAGATTACACCAGTTTAAGGGCCGGGGATTTAGCTCAGTGGTTCTGGCGCCTGCCTCACAAGCACAAGGTCCCAAGTTCGATCCCTGGTACCAAAATAAAAGAAGATTACACCAGCTGAAAACATCCTGGGAGGAACAAACATCTACTCAGTTCCTCATTGTTCTTGGATTGTTACATCTTGTTTACACGGATGTACTGAACTCTCTGCAAGTCATTTGTTACATTTGTTTCTCCCGATGTACTGAATAAAAGGTGTGGTAAGCTGGGGGCTTTTGCCTTGTGCTGCCATGGCTCACAGGAGACTTGGACTTACTGCAGAGGTTCTAGTAATGTCCCCTTTCCCTGTTCCCTACATTTGGTGCCCAACTTGGATGTGAATCAGATACAGGGGTGAACTCACCTGTGAGATAAACTCGGAGTAAAAGAGCACATGGATCTCCCGGGACAATTTCCTGACTCGGACAAGGGACACTGGTGTTAAGTGTGTCCAGCTGGGAGTAAATTGCTATCTTTGCTGAGTTACAACTAAGGGTCAGTCTCTGTCATCAGAGTAGTGTAACTTTGCCAAATTACTTAAGTCACTGTTAAAGCAAGCTATGTACCCAATACCTAAGGATGCTGTGATAAATTTGTTAAAAGACATACAAATGTATGTCCCATTTTTTCTCCAGGAAGGGACAACTAACTTAATAGTATGGGAACATGTATGTACCATTCTCCATGAGGCCCAGCGAAGGGTGATCCTCTCTCCCCATGAACACTCCCCACTTGGGCCTTAGTCCACTTGCTCTCAAATTCTCTCAGTCAGTTCAGGAAACCTCAGCTACCCCTCCCTCCACTAACCCTTCTGTCAGGGCTTCCCCTTGTTTGGCTTCTTCTCCAGTTTGCTTTCATCTCACTGCAGCTTCTGCTCCACCACCACAGTGTGCTGAGGAAGACCCTAATTCTCTATCCCCTCAGCCATCTCACAAAGGTCTAGTTGTCCCTCTTGTGAAGCCCACTTCTGGGGCCACTCCCTGTCACCATACCCTTCAAAAGGCTGTGACATCGAGCAAGGCAGTGGGAGGCCTTTTGTGCTTTCCTATCTCAGTTTTGCCTGATCCTGACAACTCAGATGTAGACATGTATGTTCATGTCTCATTTGATTTTAACATCCTAAAGGACCTCAGGCAGAGCATTCTAACTAATGGCTTCCAAAGCCCATATACAGTGGGTTTGTTGGACAATGTACTTCAGACTTATTCTCTGGCTCCCCATGACTTTTTTCAGCTTTTGAAAAGAGCCTATCCCCTGCTCAGTATCTCCACTTTGAGGTGGAACTCCATTCTTTAATCAGAGAACAGGCTCATAAAAATGTCCAGCTAGCTCAGTTGGTAGAGCATGAGACTCTTAATTTCAGGGTCATGGGTTTGAGCCCCATGTTGGGCACCAAATGTAGGGAACAGGGAAAGGGGATGTTACTAGAACCTCTGCAGTAAGTCCTAGTCTCCTGCAAGCCATGGCAGCACAAGGTGAATTACAGAAAAGGTAGAAAAATGAGACTGAGAAGAAGCTGAGCTTTGGGTCTGATCAGTGCTGCTCTGGGTAGCAAAGACGAAAGCCCCCAGCTTACCACACCTTTTAATCAGTATATGGGGAGAAACAAATGTAACAAATGACTTACAGAGAGTTCAGTACATCTATGTAAACAAGGTATAACAATCCAAGAACAATGAGGAACTGAGTAAATGTTTGTTCCTCCCAGGATGTTTTCAGCTGGTATAATCTTGTCCTGGAGAATCATAGCATCACCGGACCAGTGAGGTCTCAGTTGTGACTGGAGGCCAAAATGGAATTATGTCTCAGAATTCCATAGCTGGGCTGTAGGCAGGAGAATTAGGCTAACCAACTGATTTTACCCTAAAATTATGTAGCATTCCTCCCAACAAACACCCATTCATGATAAAAAAAATAACCTACAGAAAATCAGAATAGATCCTCTTTATCTCAATCTGATAAAAGCTATTTGTGAAAAAGCAATAGCCAACACCATACTAATGGTGAAAATCTAAAATTCTTCATGCTAAAAACAGGAACATGGCAAGGATGTCCACTATCACCACTCCTGTTCAATATAGTTCTAGATACATTAGCCACGGCAATTAGACAAGAGAAAGAAATAAAAGAAATAGATACAAAAGGAATTAAATTTGCAGAGGACACAATACTGTATATAAAATACCAAAAACTTCACCAAAAGTTTTCTTGACATTTGACTTAATGACCAAATTCAGTAGAGTAGCTGGCTACAAGGTCAACACACAAAAATCAATAGCCTTGTTATACACCAACAACAGACTCACTGAGATAGGACCTGGAGAACAATAACATCCAAAAAATGGAATACTTAGGAATCTATCTAATGAAGGAAATAAAAGACCTATACTTTGAAATTTACAGCACTCTGGAAAAAGAGATGTAAGAGAATATCAGAAAATGGAAAAACATTCCATCTTCTTGTGTAAGAAGAACCAATACAGTAAAAATGGCCATATTTCCAAAACTGCTATATAGATTCAATACAATCCCAATCGAAATTCAAACAGCCTGTTTCACAGAATTAGGAAAAAAATCCAAAAATTCATTTGGAACCAGATGAGACCTAGAATAGCAAAAGCAATTCTAGATAACAAAGACAAGGCAGTGGGTATCACAATCCCCAACTTGAAGCTCTACTACAAAGCTACTGTGATAAAAATGGCATGTTGCTGGCAAACAATAGGCCCAAGGATCAATGGAACAAATGAGAAGATACAGAAACAACTCCAGACATACTCAGCCACCTCATCTTTGACAAAGGTGCCAAACATGCTCACCGGAGGAAAGACAGCCTCCTTAATAAATGGTGCGAGAAAAACTGGGGTTCAACTTGTCAAAGATTAAAGCTAGACCCATATTTCTCATCGTGCAAATGGAAATGGATCAAAGATCTAACTAATAAAACAGAAACACTGAACTTGCTTGAAGATAGGCTAGGTAGAACTCTTAAAATCATTGGTGTAGGAAAAGACTTTCTAAACAAAACCTCAGTTGCATGGAAACTAGCACAAAAAATCAATAACTGAAATCTCATCTTATGCTTCTGCACAGCAATAGAAACCACCAACAGAGTGAAGAGACAACCCACAGTGTGGGAAGAAATTCTTACCAGCTGTTCCTCTAGCAAAGGTCTACTATCTAGACTATATAAAGAACTATAAAAATCAGCCCCCCAAATTTAAAGACTCAGTCCAAAAATGAGCATCTGAAATAAACAGATATATCTCAGCAAAGATAAAGAAACAGCAAATAAACCTATGAAAAAATGTTCAACATCATTGGTCATTTGAGAGATTCAAATTAAAACAAGCTAAGATTTCACTTCACTCCAGAAAGAATGGCTGCTATCATGGAATCAACCAATAACAAAAGCTGGCAGGGCTGTGAGGAAAAAGGAACACTTCTCCACTGTTGGTGGGAGTATAGACTGGAGCAACCACTATGAAATCAGTATGGCAATTCCTCCAAAATTTAGAATTGAAAGTCCCATTTGACCCAGCTATTTCCCTGCTGGGTATTGTCCCAAAAGAATTAAAAGAATCACACCACAGCAATATATGCACACCCATATTTATAGTGGCAGTTTTTAATAGCTAAATCTTGGAAAAAGCCCAATTTCCCATTAACTGGTGACTGGATAAAGAAGATGTATGTTGTGTGTGTGTGTGTGTGTGTGTGTATGTGTGTGCGTGTTTACAAAATGGAGTACTATTCAGCCACAAAGAATGAGAAACTACAGACATTTATAGCTAAATGGATGGACCTTGAGACCATACTCTTAAGTGAAATAAATAGGACACACATGTGTAAATATCAAATTTTTTCTCTGGTGTGAGAAACTGAAAGTGTAAATGAGGACCAAAATATATAATTATGTGAAATAGGAAGAAAAGTTTCAAAGCAGAAGGGGAACTATGGAAAGGGGCAAGGGAAAAGAAAAAAGGGAAGGAAAAAGAATGAGAAAAGAAGGAAAACACAGAAAGAAAGATTTGGTAAATAGGAAGGGATTGAGGAGTGGAAGGGTGGGAAAAGGAATGGGAAAAACAAGAACCAAAATATATTATGTAGAGGTATAAATTCCCCATGTTGAATGCAATCATATTGTATACCTATAATGTACCAACAAACTTAATGGAAAAAAAGAAATAATCACAATGTTGCCATAGCCAGGATAACGTACTTGAATAGCATTAGTAGAAAGACTCTTCTAAAACTTAAAAATTACCAAAAATTATTTGTAATCTTGAATTTGCGACATTCTACTACAAGATTTGAAGTTTAAAGGTCTAAAAGTACCTAGTATTATGTGCTAATAAATTAATATACAAAAAAGTGAAGGATAAATATCTCATGGTAGATCAAAACAACACATTAGCCCCCCACCCCAGGGCAGAGGTGGTGAGCTGCTCTCAGCACCCAGGAGAAGGCTTCTGGGCCACTTTACTACCCCTTTCCTCAGTGCAGAGTAGGTGAGCCACACAGGTGCCAGCACCACCTCCCGAAATGAGAAGACATGTAAACAAGTCTCAAAAGCAGACTTCCAGATCACCTACAGCAATCCCAAAGGGAAACAAGATGGGACACTGTGATACTCAACCACCTGGATTCCTTGAACTGGCAACAAAAGAGAATGTGGAAAAAATGAAATCAGAAATAATTTCTCAGTAAACAGCAGAGATTGTGCTCATACTGCAAGATGTGATTAATAAATCTAGAGAGGACATAGATAAAAAAATAGAGAAACTGAGGAACATGATGGGATCCCAGTATAGGAAACAAATGGGACCCATAAAAGAGATGCAAACAGGTCTCCAGGAGATTAAACACTCCATTGAAAGTTTATGCAACAGAATGAGCCAATGTGTGGACAGAATTTCAGATATAGAAGATAAGATTGCAATTAGTGACCAGGAAAAGAAAAATTGCTTCAAAATTGTAAGGGAACACAAGAAATCAA